TCAGAGCACTGTGGGTGTCACACTTGAACTGTAGTGTGAAATGATTGTTGATTTCCTTTCTTCCTTCTTCCTTCCTTCCTCTTTACTTCCTTCCTTCCTTCCTTTCTTCCTTCCTTCCTTTTTCCTTCCTTCCTTTTTACTTTCTCCCTTCCCTTTTCCTTCCTTCCTTTTTCCTTCCTCTTTCCTTCCTTCTTCCTTCCTCCATTTCCTTTCTCTCCTCTTTACTTCCATTTCTTCCCTCTTCCTTTGATTCTTCTCCTTTTCTTCACTCCCATTTTTCTTTCTTCTTTCCTTCCTCTCTCCCTCCCTTCCTCTTTTTTCTTATTCACATTGATTTTTTTTTCTTTCTATGTGTATGTGTGATTGTGCATGTGGGAACCAGAGACCAACTTTGGGTGTCGTTCCTCAGGAGTTGTCCACCTGAGGACTACATTTCTGAGATAGTGTCTCTTGCTGGAATTTTGGGCTCTCTGACTAGGCTAGGCAGATGTCCAGTAAACTCCAGGAATCCTTCTGTCTATACCTCCCCAGGGCTGGGTCTACAGGCACTTAACATCATGCCCAGCCTTCTTCATTGTTGTTGCTTTCTCTCTTCATTCTCTGTGTGTGGTATGGTGTTCGTGTGTATGCATGTGCATCTGGGTGTGAGGGTAATATGTGCACATCTTATTATTCTAACAAGGTCTCTCACTAAACCTGGAGGTCGTCGATTGGCTACACTGATTGATTAGTGAGTTCTGGGAAATCTGCCTGTGCCCATGCTCACGCACTATGAATAAGACACACACGACCTTGATGGACTTCTTATGTGGGTCCTGGGGATCCAAACTCAGGCCCTCGCTCTTGTGTAGCAGGCATTTTCGTGCCTGAGTCATCTCCCTAGCCTTAATCTTCTTTAGTTTGTTTACTTGCTTGCTTTTTTACTTTTTGAAACATTATTACGGTTGTGGTGATATTTAAGAGAAGTCGTAGAATTGTGGGTTTTTTTTTTCTCATCTACTGTGTCCATGAATGCATTGCCTCCCCAGCTACCCACCTGTATCCCTTAGCAGTCCAGGTCACCATCTTTGACTCTGCAACAGAACCTCATATTCACTTAAAAATCAAAATCACAGTTTGCGTTCAGTCTTGGTAGGGCCCAGTCCATGAGTTTGGACCGGTTGTGTGTTTGGATCAGCAGGTCCATGATGGCAGTGTCTTCCAGAGTGGTTTCCCTGCCCCATAAACTACAACACTCCAGCCATTGTTCCTCTGTGGCTTCGCCCAGGCTCTGGGCAGCCCTTTGGAGTGACATGAAGTTGCACTACACGAGTTGGGTCAGTGTCTTTCACTCAGAAAAGTTGTTGGGAGCTGTTCTGTTTGCTTCTGTCTTATAAGTTCTGACTATAGTCCTGAGGGAAGGACTCAGGGTCTCCCCATGTTGCGTGACGGCTCTTTATATGTCAACCCTGTGTTTACCTTTTGTTATGTACCCCAGACTGGCTTTGAACTTGCAATCTTCCTGCTGCCACTTAAAGCCAGTATCACAAGACCTTCCACCAGGCTTGGATCTCAGTGTTGTTGTTGTTTTGTGTGCTTGAGATGAGGTCTCACTATAAAGCCTATGTTGCCCTTGAACTCATGATCCTCATGCCTCATCCTTCTTGGGCAGTTGGTATTGCAGACCTGTATGATCACATCCAGCTACAGCTGTGCTTTTGAACTATTCTGTGAAGCCCCTTTTAGAGAAAAGGAGGTTCTGGGTTCCTCAATGCCCTTTCAAACAGCAATTTTTTTCTCATTCGTTAAAGGATCTGGAATTCTTGCAAAATGTCACTTGAAAGCCATTGTTCCCCTGCAACTCTCTTGTTGAACAGATGACAGCCTTGGTAACTGGAGACAGGAAAGGGTTTTCCCAGAGTCACACAATCCAAAGCAGACAGGGCTTGGCTCTCAGGGCCCATGACTCTTGCCTTGGTCTTGTGCCATCGGACTGTTGTGAACTCAGTTGTCCCATGGTTGGGCTACCCTTGCTTCCTCTCCCACCTCCACCATGGAAAAGCCCTGCGGGTTGCTGCCAGGGACCAAAACCAAATCTATTTCCAGTCTTTCTAATTACTATATCTTGCCGTATGCTGGGTGGCTGCTCTGAGCTCAGAGAAGCTAGGTAGCTGGGATAGAAACGCCAAGATGGTTGAGGGTTCTGGGACAGAGAGGACATGCTTGGCAACAGGGTGAGGACAACCAGAGGGCGAATTCCTCTCAGATCACCTTTCCCAGCACCACACAGCCGCAGCCCTGTGTTCCCTTGACACCTCTGTGCTCAGGACAGTTGCGGTCCTCAGGCTAGCCCCCTTCTGGCATCTCACTCATACTGACCCTGTCCCACTGACTCTATCCTGAGCCATCTTTTACAGCAGGCCAAGCCAGAAAGACCTGATACAGCCTTCAAGGCAAGAGGTGCAAACCAGTAGCTGAAGAAGTCATACCTGAGAATTACTAACTTCTAGAGGACAGTCAGGAACTGGGATTGTTAGCATCAGCAGGTTGTATGATCTGAAGAGAAACATTGCGTTGGCCACATGAACATACATGTGCGCGCGCGCATACACACACACACACACACACACACACACACACCACTCAAATGCACTCATTAGCTTAGGAAACAAAACCACTAATATCAGACTTGATTCAAGGCCCAGTTCTGAAGCCATACTTCAACCTGCCATTCACAGTGGCAACCAAGAGTCAAACAATTGCAGCATTTCCAGAGATTCCTTCTCTGGAATCTCTCATACATGAGCCTCCCAAGCTTCCTGACTTGGAAATACCAGACCTTCTGTTCCCTTATAAACTCCAAAGTCCTTCAGCACAGCTTTCTGTGGTTTGTGTGTGTGTGTGTGTAAGTGAGTGTAAGTGTGTGTAAGTGCATGTGTGTGTGCTGGGGATGGAATCCAAGGTCTTTCACATGCTAGGCAAGTGATCTACCACTGAGCTACATCACAGCCTAATCTCTCAATATTGCTTACGTGCCTCGGTTTCTCTTCTGTCTCTTGAGATCACCTGAAACCCCTGAAGGAAGTGAAAGTCTTAGCTGAGAGTAGCAGTTTCCGTCAGTCTCCTCTGTGTCATGGTCTTGAGCCGCCTGCCCACTCTAAGACACAGGCTTGAAAGCCATTTCCTCCTTTGTCTATGGCACTTGCCTCCTCCTGCCCAATCCTAGTCTTTATCTTCTTCCATGAGCTCTTGGAACAGGGTCACCGTCCCCCAAATTCTAGACAGCTTACAAGGTGGCAAGAACACAGTATTGTTCATTTTTTAAAAAAATTTTATGCACCTGGAAAGATGTCTCAAGTGTTAATGCTGCTTGCAGCTCTTTCAGAGGAGCAGAGTTCAGTCCCCAGCATCCCCGTCAGGTTGCTCACAACTGCCTGTGACTCCACCTCCAGGGCTACAAGGCCTTCTTCTGACCACCATGAGCACTGCCTGTAACTCCATCTCTGGGGCTACAACGCCTTCTTCTGACCAGCCTGTACACATAAAATATTATTATCTTCATAACTGAAGCACAACAGCAGCTACCATCACACTTGCTGTCCGTTTAGTGGACACTTTGGGAACCTTTAAATCTTGAGTTCATTGAACCCCTTTTCTCACAGCATTGTCATTAACCCAAGTGAAACAAAACAAAGCCTCCACTGTGGGACTGGAATGGTGGAATGCGCTGGGGTGGCCTCTTAGGGAGGTGTGGAAGCCTCAGGGAAGGGCAGTTTGCAGAAGGCCCATTCGCCAAAAGGCAGCCCCTGCCCTCTGGTGTGCGCAGATATTTCTTCAGAAGAGGAAATTGTCTTGTCACCCACATGTTCCCTTCTCAAGTAACAGCCCCTCCCATGGCGGCAGCAGAAGATGTGGCTGGCCATTCATTGTTGTAATCTGGTTCTTCACCCGAGAGACAGGAATGTAACTAGTTAAGGTGGGAGTGAGACCTGGGGGGTGACATGTGTGAAGCTCGTCATACAATATGAGGAACTTGGAGTATCTCTGCCATCTTCCCTGCACCGTTCCTAGGTGAGGGGAGCATCTGGTGTGCGGGAAGGTGCTGCAAGCTTGGGGCAGGGTGCTGTGCTAGCTACCCGTCTCACTGCTGTGACAAAACACTTGACAAGAACAATATAAGGGATCCTTAGCTTGTCTCACAGTTTAAGGTAGGCATAGTGACAGCAGAGGGAGGAAGTGGCTCACACTGCATCCACAATCAGGAAGCAGAGGGAGATGCACGCTGCTGCTCAGTTCTGAACCCCTAGCCCACGGAGTGATGCTGCTCGCATTTAGGATGGGTCCTCCCCTCTCAGTCACCACAATCTAGAAACTCATAGCCCTGGCCACAAGCTTGTCTCCTTGGTAATTCTAGATTCTGGCAAGGAGATAATCAAGATTAACCATTACAGGTATGAAGTTAGTGGGCAGGGTCTTTCTTTGTTCATCCCCACATGACTTGAGCCATCTGCCCTGGGCTGGGGCAGATAAAGAGGACCTTTCTTCACATTGGGTGAGCAGGGTCATCTCTGCCTTTCCCCACTTTTGGAACCGCCAGCAGAGGAGAAGGCATATTTCAGTGACCTTGAAAAAATTCCTAAGCAATCAGGAACATGGGGAGCATGGCCCCCAGAGGCACTGGAAGCCCTGGGTGTGAGTGGAAGCAGATTTAGTGTGGTGAGAGGATCCAGACTGGGAGAGGAGAGTCCCTTCTCTGAGTCCCCCCATAATAACTTCCTTTAACTGGGGGTTTCCATGTGACTGTCACCCTGCACCACGCCACCCTTGGCCTTTCGAGGTTCTCTCCATGTCTCCAGAGAACTGATACTTAGAGAGGGTAAGTCACTTGCCTAAGGCCCCACAGCTGGGCCTCCAACTCCCATCTCAGTGCATGATGTCCCTTTGTTCATACCTTCTGGCTCCTCTCACTCCCAGCCCTCATCAGTCACCTGTGAGACAGCTGAGTGTGTTTTTCCTCCCAGGCCATAGTCTGTGTGCCACCATGGAACTGGGGCTTCCAGAGGGCAGCTACCTGGAGCTCCTTAACAGCGATGCTGACCCCCTCCACCTCTACCACTTGTGCGACCAGATGGACCTGGCTGGGGAGGAGGAGATCGAGCTCAGCTCAGGTGGGCCTTGTTTCTCTCGGCTGGCTGAGACAGCCTGCAAGCGTCAGGACCTTGGACAGCTCCCAGCCCATTGCCCTGCCCCTCAACTGGAGACTGTTGCTCTCCTTCCCCATCATCCCTCCTGTCAGATTCCTTGGATTCACCCTAAGGGCTTTTCCTTTCCAGAGCCGGACACAGACACCATCAACTGTGAGCAGTTCAGCAAGCTGTTGCAGGACATGGAAGGGGATGAAGAGACCAGGGAGGCCTATGCCAACATCGGTAAGATGGTAGTGGGACCAGAGAAAGGACAGAGAAAAAAATCTCCACTAACCTCACTGGGGTTAGTGAACAACAAAATTTCCCTCCCTCCAAAATTGTAGCTGGGGGGGGGGCAGTTAGAGCTGGAAGAGGACTGCGGGGAGGAAGGAGAGAGGGAGGACTAAGGGAGCCAGGTCCCTTCCCTGATGACTGTCAAGCCAACCATGGCCTTTATGGTACTTCCCTTCCTTTCTTTCCTTTTCTTTCTAATTTTTGTATTATGTTCATTTTATTTTATTTTTGAGACAGGGTCTTATCTAGCCCAGGCTGTCCTGGAACTCACTATGCATCCTAGGCCAGTCTCAAACTCACGGCAATTCTCCAGCCTCAGCTCCCCAGTGCAGGATCATAGGCACACATCACATGACCTTCTCCGGCATCTGAGCCACCAAGTTTGCCATTGCAGCAACTGACTTTGGCAGCCTATTCATGTATGGCCAACCGAGTCCTTGGTGTGAGAGCTTCCTGCTTACAGACGAGGAAACTGAGGCTGAGGGAGGTGATGCAGCCTCAAGGCTAATGCACATGGCCAGAAGCAGATGTGAAATCTGCTGCCAGGGCTTCCTCACTTCCAAGTCCTGACTTAAGCATGAAAAGGAAGTACCTGAGATTGAGCAGGTTGCTATGGCATGTCCAGCTTTGAAAAGAGATTCAGGGCCAGAAGGGTAGCCCTGTGGGTTAAAGGCAATTGCCACCAAGCCTAATGACCTGAGTTTAAGGTGGAAGGAAAGAACTGATTCCTGCTAGCTGCCCTCTACATACATTCCATGGCACTGGTGCATGTGGGTACACATACACAAATATGCGTGCACGTGCACACACACAAACACACACACACACGCATACACACACACACACACACACACACACACACACACTGAATTCCTGGTCGTGCAAATGTCTTCCCACTAGCTCCAAGTCACGTACCACGTTGTTTGCCATCATTTCTGGAGTGTCTCCGGTCTACTATGTTGAATGTTCTGAACACACGTCTAGCCATTTGTGTCCACCTCTGGAGAGAATGTGCTGTTTGTTCTCATTGTTCAGATGAGGAAACAGGAACCAGAAACATTAAGCAATCAGCTCGAGATTGTCCAGCAAATGGAGCTCATGGAGAATAAAGACCGAGTTTGAGCTCAACCCCAAAGCCAACGTTCAATGTTCTTCTTTGAGTTATTTTATGATGTAGATATGTTTTCATGGGCACATTCTTTGCTCATTACATGAAAGGCAACGTCTGCCTGTTGTTCATTCAACTTACACTGAGCCACGTTTATAGAGACCCTACTGTGCACCAGACCTAGAAGGTGGCAGCCCCTAGGCTTGACCCACAGTAGGACTTTTGGGAGACCTTCTGACTGACTTTGTGCTTCCTCCCCTGGCAGCGGAACTGGATCAGTATGTGTTTCAGGACACCCAGCTGGAGGGCTTCAGCAAGGACCTCTTCAGTAAGTCGGGGGATGCTGATAGTGGCCTTGCCTCAGTTTCTTCCTGACCTGAAGAAATGTCTGGCAGCCTCAGCTACTCACTATAGAGACCCTAATGGGGGCTCTGGGATTTGACATGGGTCTCTGGTGTTTCTCTAAAGTAGAGCACATTGGAGCAGAGGAAGGCTTCCGTGAGAGCGTGGAGGGCTCTGGAGAAGCCGGACAGAGGCCCCAGAAGAGACGTGAGTGAGCCCCTCATTTCTCAGATCTAGTCCCTCCTTATCTATCTCTGCAACCTGCTGTGGTCACAGTTACTCCATTAGGTCCTGTCTTCCTCCCTACCACAACCCCCTGCCACTGCTTCCCAGGGAGGAACAGGCATCTCAAGAGTAAAGCTCCCTCCTCCTGGTAGAGTCTCTGTGGGCTGCTTCGGTTCCTGTTCCTCAATGACTTTTGAGTCCCACTTCCCCTTCCCTTAGGGTATCTGAGGGAGGTCTCTTTAAGCTATGGGTATGGCCTCAGCCAGGATTGGGTTGGAATCCTGAATATGCTGTTTATGAGCTGTGTGACCTTGGCTAGGTATCTACACCTCTCTGAGCCTCCTGCCCAGTCTCTTGCCTACTTAGTCTGTCCTCACCTAGTGGTCATCGATGCTTCGCCATACAGATTATGGCATCCCTGCTTTGCTGACCCTCCAGCTGTCACAGGATACATTCTGAGAGGCCTGTGTGGGCCATCCTTCCTCTTCTGACTCATGGAGAGACACTACATTGGCTACACTCTTTTCCCCATGTGGCAGCCCATGCAGACTGCCACATTGTTCCTCTTCCTGAAGCACTTCCTCTCTTCCTGTAATTAGGTCCTTCAAAACCATTAGCCCACCTCACCCAGGAAGCCCTCCCTGACCACTCATCCACATAAAGTCACTGTCTTATTCACGTTTAGCTCTCTTTTTTAGTGTGTTTGTTTTATGTGTATGAGTGTTTTACCTGCATGCATGTCTGTGTACCACATGTATGTTTGGTGCCTACAGAGGCCAGAAGAGGGGGATGGTGCTCTGAGACATCTCTCTAGTCACTATATGTTTATTTCTTGTGTGAGGTGTGTGTGTGTGTGTGTGTGTGTGTGTGTGTGTGTGTGTGTGTATGAGCGCATGTGTGTTGTGGGGATGAAGCCCAGGCCTTTGGAATGCTACACAAACACTCTACACTGATCTGCAACCCCAGGCCCTGCACATTTATTTACTGATGGCATGGGAATCTGGTGCGTGCTGTAATCTAGCGTGCCAAGAAAGGGCAGTGGGAGAGTTTGCCTCCAGCCCATCCTTTCCTTAGCACTTCCCCCTGAAGGCAGTTTGTGACCATCTCTCCCTCTGAACCTTGTCAGAAATACTCTATCACCTGCTCCACCCCCACCACACATACCAACATACATATGAACATAAACTTACATATATGCACAATATATACACACGTGTACATATGCATATACACACAAACATATGTACATGTATACAAATACACACATACAGATGCACACACTATTTCACTCTGCCCTTACCATGTCTTGGAGGGCATTTCCAGATTGCTGCTGGAGAACACAAGGATCTGTCTCCAGAATGCCCCCCCACTTCTCTTCTTCTTCTCTGTTTTCTTCTCTCCCTTCCTCTTTGCAAACTTTCTTTCTTATTATTGTGTGTATGGGCACACGCACACTATATGAGTATGTCCATGTCAGACAGCTTTGCAGAGTCAGTCCTGTCTTTTCACCTTTACATGGTTCTGGGGGTTGAACTTGGGTCTCTGGTCTTGCATTACAAGTATTGTACCCACTGAGCCACCTCACAGGCTCCTCGATTTTCTTTCCTTTTGCCCTTTCTCTCCCTCTTCCCTTTCTCTCTCACTTCTTTTCTTCCCTACATCCAACCTTCCTCACTGCCTCCCTCCATTTCTGCCTCCCTGCCTACCTACCTACCTACCTCCCTTCTTCCCTGCCTCCCTCCTTTCCTGCCTCCCTCCCTACCTGCCTTCTCACCTTCTTCTCTCCCTCTGTCCTTCCATTCTTCCATCCCTCTGGCCCTTCCTCCCTCCCTTCTTCTACACTGAGCTAAGGTATGGGTCCCTCTGTGAGCAAGCATACCTCCCCTCTTCTTGAATTCAACAGTTAATATTGGGACCTATGTGCCTTGAGCTGCTTCACCCATTGGTAGATCTCTTGATCCTTTTGGGGCCTTCCTAGTAAATTAGAGCCTATGATTCCCCTTGCTACATACCTTCCAACATCCTGACTCTTCCACAGCTGGCCCAAGCTGGGTCCTTGGGTGGCTGCCCCACAGTTGGCTATATAGGTCTCTTGTTGAGAGACATGGTTTTTGCCACTGATCTGTTAAGACATTCTCTGCTTTTCACTGTTGTCTGGAAGTGGACAAGTGCGTGCAATGGTATAGCATCCATAGAGGAAACATTAACGCTCTCTGGCAGGCTATGGGGGCAACCTGGGCAGAGCCCAGAGCTGCGGGCTCCAGTGGTTTTATAGCTCTAACCTCACCTGATCTGTGATTTTGTGCCTCTGCCTCTCCTCTACTCTCACCTACCTGCCAAGATTCTTGTAGTTGAGACTTGGGCTCAAGCAAGAACTGGCCAACACCCTAAGGAGTAGGGAGAAAGTGGTGCATGGTACTTCAGGTCCTCAGGAAAGGTCACATGACCTGTTGAGAACCAAGAAATTCCCATGGCTGGGCACATCCCAACCCAGGGCCACTGATCTCAGGGTTCTCTCTGCAGGCTCCGCAGAAGAGCACGCTACGGACTCCAAGCACAGGAAGCTAGGTGAGATGGGCAGATGATCCAGAGAGCCACTTTGGAGGAACATAGGCCTCCTCAAATGTAGCACAAGCCAGCATTGAACACCAGGAATCAGGGTTGAGAGTAGTTCAGGGGTAGAATGTGTGCCTATTGTGAACAAGGTCCTAGGTTGCATTCTAGCATCATGGAAGAAGATAAAAAGAAGGAGGGGACAGAGGGAAGAAGGGGGAAGAGAGAGAAAGGAAGAGAGGATGGAAGGAAGGGAAATCTGAAGAGAGACCAAGGGACAGAGGGAAGAAAATAGCTCAGAGAAACGAAGTCGCCTAAGATCACACAGCTGTGGGAGAGTGAGTACAAACAGAGACGGTGATTTCTCAGCCTGCGCTGTGGTACGAGACTCATCTTCTGTTACCTCCAAACCTCTCTCCTACTAGCTTCCATGGATCCCCCAAGATGATAGAGAGGTAGCTTCAGTCCTTAGGGAGTCCTAATCTGATGAGGGAGCAGGACCCACCCCATTTCACTGCTCTCCCATTCGGTAGAAGAGAGTGCTGTGTCCACCTTCATGGGAACACATGGTTCTGCTCCCATACATTGGACAGAAGCTGGAGGCTGAGGGTGGTGCTTAGTCTCCCAAGAGTTTAGTGACTTGCTGTCTCCGGGTGAGAGGGGCTGGAGTTATGGTTATGGGCCTAGACATAGGTTTCTTGTGTGAGGTTTCTAGGGAGGCCCCTAAGCCCAGCTACAAGGAAAGGCTGAGTATTGTTGGCATAGATCAACAGCTGAGCAACTCAGCTACTTGGGGTCAGAGGGGGACAGTCATTTCCTTCAACTCCCAAGAGAGAGATTCTTGCTGTCCTGGCAGGCCTACCCCATTCCAGGTGTCCATCCAGCCTCTAACTCACCCCTTTCTCACAGCCGAGCCCTCTTCGGTGCCCATATTGACTGGCAGCTTCCTGATGGGGCCAGCAAGCCTCTCCACCATGTCTTACTTATCACCTGCTCTATCCAATCAAGAGCCAGTGTCCAGCCATTTATACCTAGAGGGAGCTGTTCAGACATCTGGTATGTTGAAGGATTGGAGAAGATGTGAGAAATGAGAGCCTCTTGGGGGGGGGGAGCTGAATGTTAACCCCACATCACTAAACAGAAGTACAAAAATGGGTGCTGTGGATGGTCCCCCCTCACTGCCTCTGTCTCCTGCAGGGCCCCCCTCTAGGTCCTCACTGAACTGCTTGGATCTCCCCATCGGACACATCCAGCTTCTTCCCACTCTGCCCCAGGGACTTTTGCAAATCTCAGGGGCTGGCACAGGTCTCTCCAGTGTTCTGATCTACCACGGTGAGTGTACAAGCCAGCATCGCAGCTGAGGGTCTCTCCTTCCTCCCTCCCCCTGACCTGCTCTCTCCGGCAGGCACTTGGAATTGTGACACAGCACCCATTCATGAATTCTCCCTCCCAACAACACCTTTCCCTATCCTCATTTCCCCCAAAGTCACGGTGGTCTGCATAGGTGACCAGACTCACAGCCTTCTGTGTCACTGTTTCCTTTCAGCTTAGTTTTTCCTCAAAACAAAAAGTTAAAAAGGATTTTGTTTTAATTGTGTATGTGCACACAAGTGAGAATGCTTTACTGTAGTACCTGAAGAAGCCATAGGTGATTTCTCTCTGGAGTTGGTGTTACAGGTTGTTGTGAGCAGCCTGACATGGATTCTGGGAGCCAAACTCAGCATCTCTGGATAAGTAGTTCTTGCTCTTTGTTACTGAACTATCCCTTCAGACCTTAAACAAACAAGCAAGCACCCTCAGCTTTATTTTTAAACTCTGACATCGGTGACCCTCATTATGAAGCCAAACAATAAGAGACTCCAGAGTTAACTGTCCCCTTGCCCCTCCAGTGTGTTGTGGGCAGTCTTGTGTGTACCTTTGCATGACTCTCTCTAATTCGCCTTTTTTTCTGATCAGTTAAATGGTGCCTGTTGACACACCATACTGAGGCTTCCAATAAGCCCTGGGAAGGCATGTCTGGACTCTCAGGGATGAGGATGGTTCCACTACAGCCCACAAGCTCCTTTTAGGGCTGCATGTCTGTTTCTATTTAAGATAATGGTGTCCCAGAAGCAAGGGAGCAACTCCTAACATGTAGGAGTGCCAAGAAGCATCTGTCCCGAGTGCCCTGTGAGCTGACTGTGTCCACTCCACGGATGGGAGCTGGATGTAACTTGGGGTTTCCTCCCCAGTTTCACCCTGAAATGCCTTCACTAGGAGGTTTCCTCTATCTCCAAGCTCGCCAACCACTCACCTCAACAGCAGGAAGAGATCATTTATTCTGGAGCCAGACAGGAGTAACCATTGCCAGGAACACAGATTTACGATGCCCCAAATACCTCAATCCAGCATGTCAACAGCTAAATGAACTTTTAGTAGTAACAGACCAAAGAGAGTTATAAGCCAGGTCATCTTTCAGATACATTAGTAGAAACCCCAGCCAGGTTACAGCAAAGCAGGGTACCTCTGCTAGAGTCCTCGGATGCTACCTGCTGGCATTCTTAGCCTTTGGGTGGTGGAAAAGGCATCCCCTGGTACATTGCCAAAAGGATTTTTTTTTTACCTGAAGTCTTAAGGATGCTAGGCCAAATACAGGGGTAGGCAATTAATGTCTATGAGGGTGGGTGCTAAAGACACCCCAAGACAATTTGGCTCTGGACCTGCAACTTTGCAGCCACAGAAGCTCTAGCTATTCAGTCAGCCTTTACCAGAGATGCAGCACCCCCACCCTGGGAAAGTCAGTTCACACTCCACAGTGTGGGTGAAGGGGTGACCCAGCACACTCCCAGACGAGTCCTTAACGATTCTTACGCTCTTCTTTTCCTTCCGTACAGGTGAGATGCCCCAAGTCCACCAAGCAGTCCCTTCAGGCGGCCCCACTGTCCCCAGCCTCCCCGAATCCCCAGGGCGGCCGGGCTCCACCAGCCCCTTTGCACCATCTGCAGCTGACCTGCCCAGTATGCCTGAACCTGCGCTGACCTCTCGTATTGATGAGACGGGTGAGGACCGGGGCTCTAAAATAGGCCTTGGAACCAAGATGGAGGGCTTGGGGAGGAAATTTCTCAGGCAGTCAGAGCTGCCTGAAGAGGTGGGCAAGTCACATTCATGGGTGACTGGTCATGAGGAAGGGCGTGTGAGGGAGGGTGTGTGAGGTCTGGTGAAGCAGGGAGTGTGACTGAGGGTTGGGTGACAACTGGAACTTGTCTGTCCATCCAAGCAGAGCCATAAGCCACAGGCCTCCTGTTGATCTTTAGGGTGTAAGAGCACACCCAGCCTGACTGGGCCTTCTAAAGCTGGAAATCCAGGCTTTATTGAATCCTATACTTTTAAATTTTGCTTTTCTTTGTTTGGAGACAGGGTCTTTCTGTACATCCTCAACTGGCCTGCAACTCAGTATGTGCCTATTAGACTGAATTTAAACTTGCAAAAATCCCCCTACCTCACCCCCTGAAGGCTGGGATTACAGATACTATAGTGCTTGACTTGCAGTAATTTTTAAAACACTGGTTAAAAGATGTTTGTTTGTAAGTACAGCTGGCTAAAATAAAGATCTCATATACAATTGAGCTGCCTTCTTGTGACCTGGCCTTGGAGTCTTAGGCATGTGGTTCTGTCCTCTGGATGCCCCTAATACTGGCAAGAGTCAATGGGAACCCTCCAGACTCTGACTGACATTTGTTTCTCCATCCTCAGAGGACACATCATCCCCCTCCCCATGTCAGGAAGGTCCCGAGTCTCCCATCAAGCTTCCAAAATGGCCAGGTGAGTAACTATTGAGCCCCTCTGTCCTGAAGACCCAATGCAAAAAGCACTTCACTTCACCCATGCAATACTTAGCCAGCCCCTCGCCAGCGCACTTGCTCGTTCATTCATTACTTATTCATTCATTTATCACCCAGTTGATTTCCTCACTGTTGCAACGTCTGTTCAGCCATCCAAGCAGTAGTACACAGGACATAAGTCCCTATTCCTAGGAGTCACCTGTGGGAACTGAGCTTGCATTGTGAGAGAGAAGATATAAGAGAACAGAGTGAGCGAGCGGATGAAGGAAGTGAGAGAAAGCTAAGCCACTGGATGGTCCTTCTAGGTCCACCCCTAAGCTTTGCATTAATGCCTTTCCAGCCCCTGTATCACCCCCATTTCACAGATGAACTGTCCTGAAGCATAGTGGGGCATACAGATGTTCATGGCCACGCAAACAGAGGAGGCAGGATTTGACTCAGACACAGGGGCTCCCAAGTTTTAGCTCTTTCCGTTGCTGTTGACATTATTTGTTCAGAGACAGACTCTCACTATGTAGCTCACACCCTTGAACTGACTCTGTAACTCAGGCTGGCCTTGAACTCACATCCCTACTGTCTCAGTCTCTTGAGCACTAAGACTATAGGTGTACAACACCATGCCCATTGCCTTCGTCTTCCTTTCTTCCTTTTCTCCTGTTCTCTTTCTTTCTTTCTTTCTTCTTTCTTTCTTTCTTTCTTTCTTTCTTTCTTTCTTTCTTTCCACTTGCTATGTAGTTAAGGAAAACTTTGAATTTCTGACCCTCTTATCTCTATTTCCCAATTCCAGGGATTATAGGCATGCACTATCACATTCATGGTTTTGAAACCCAGGGCTTCGTACTCACAAGGCAAATACTCTACCAACAGAAAAAACCTCACCAGTCCCACTGTCTTTTTAAAGGCCTCGAATTACATTCATTTATTTCTTTGTATTATTCGGTGTGTGTCTGCATATGTGTGTATATATGTGTGCATGTGTCCGTGCATAGTACACACGTCAGAGAACGCCTTGCAGAAGTCGGTTCTCTCCTTCCACCATGAGGCACCAGGGGTGGAACTCAGGTGTGCAGGTTTAGTGGGAAGTACATCATTGTTAAAATGATGGATTTCATCCTGACAATTTCATATATATATATATATATATATATATATATATATATATATATTATTTTATTCGTACTCACACCCTTATGATCTGTTGTTCCATTTCCTTCTCTCCCAATGGTCCCCTTCCTGTCACTAAATGCTCTTACTTCTATTTTCATGCCCCCTACACACACACACACATGTATACACACACACATATACATACATACATACATACATACATACATACATATATGCATATATATTATCTATATCTATGTATCTGTCTGTCTGTATGTTTCTAGGCTCCATATATGAAAGGAAACATGTAATATATGTCTTTCTGAGCCTGGCTCATCTCACCTAACTTGATGAATCCACAAATAACCAACTCTCTTTCCAAACTCCATAGGGATGAGTGGCCCAGCCTAGTGGTAACTGAAGGGGCTGGGGAGCAGTTGAGTGGTAGAGGAAGTGCCCAGAAATCTGAACACCCTGGGTTTCATCCACAATAAACATCCTGCCCCCAGACACACACACACACACACACACACCCATCCCATAGAGCAGCCAGTTTGGGGTCATCCTGGGCTACAAAGCAAGATTCTAAATCAAAAGCTAAGAAAGAGTTTGGAACTGTAGCCCAGCTGGTGGGCTGTAGTTCAGCCAGTGGACTGTAGCTCAGCTGGTGGACTGTAGCTCAGCTGGTGGGCTGTAGCCCAGCCGGTGGACTGCTCGCTTACCATGAATAAGGCCCAGGGTTCAACCCCAAGACCACAACACTAAGGAGGTGGAAGCAGGAAGACCAGAAGTTCAAGGTCACCCTCAGCTATTAAGTGAGTTCAAGAGCAGTCTGGGTTATATGAGCCCCCATCTCATAAATAAATAATTGAAAAGGCAGAAAGAAATGGATAAAGAGAAAATTAATGGGTGTTGATGAGTGAATGAGCCGCTGACTAGAAACTGAGCAGTGGATGGGAAACTGGTGAGGTGAGAGGAGGCTCTGGCCACCTCCCCTTCCCCACCCCCCACTCTGCTAACTCTCTGGCTCACCCTTGGCTTTCCTAGAGTCTGTGGAGCGGTTCCAGCACTCCCTGCAGGACAAGTACCAGGCGGAGCCTGAGAGCCTGAGCAGTCCCCTGGTAGCCATGGAGCTGATACGGGCCAGGTTGGAGAGAGGCAGCAACAAGAGCCAGGAAAGGGAGCTAGCCACTCCAGACTGGACAGAGCGCCAGCTAGCCCATAGTGGCCTAGCTGAGGTGCTTCAGGTTGTCGGCGACCGCCGCTGGCCACGAGAGACACAGGTGGTCGCCGTGCTGGGCAAGGCTGGCCAGGGCAAGAGCCACTGGGCCCAGATGGTGAGTCAGACCTGGGCCCGTGGCCAGTTGCCACAATATGACTTTGTCTTCTATGTCCCTTGTCACTGCTTGGATCGTCCAGGCGACTCCTACCACCTGCGGGATCTGCTCTGTCCCCCAAGCCTGCAGCCACTGGCCATGGATGATGAGGTCTTAGGTCACATCGTGAGGCAACCGGACCGTGTCCTGCTCATTCTAGATGCTTTTGAGGAGCTAGAGGCCCAAGATGGTCTCCTGCATGGACCATGTGGACCTCTGCCCCCAGAGCCCTGCTCCTTCCGGGGACTGCTAGCGGGGCTGTTCCAGCGGAAGCTGCTGCGCGGCTGTACCCTGCTCCTCACGGCCCGGCCCCGGGGCCGCCTGGCTCAGAGCCTGAGCAAGGCAGACACCATCTTCGAGGTGCCCAGCTTCTCTATTAAACAGGCCCAGACTTATATGAGGCACTACTTTGAGAACTCGGGGACAGCAGGGGACCAAGACAAGGCCCTGGGCCTCCTGGAGGGCCAGCCCTTTCTCCTCGCCCACAGTCACAACCCTGCTCTGTGCAGGGCCGTTTGCCAGCTCTCCAAGGCCCTGCTGGAACAGGGCACGGACACCCAGCTGCCTGGTACACTTACAGGACTCTATGTCAGCCTGCTAGGCCCTGCAGTTCGAGATAGTCCTCCGGGGGGCTTAACTGAGCTAGCTAAGCTGGCCTGGGAGCTGGGCCGCAGACACCAAAGCACCTTGCAAGAGACCCAGTTACTATCCGTGGAGGTGAGGACCTGGGCAGTGACCCGAGGCTTGGTGCAGCCCGCCCTGGGGACCGCAGAGGCCCAGCTGGCCTTCTCTAGTTTTCTGCTACAGTGCTTTCTGGGTGCTGTGTGGCTGGCACAGTGCAATGAAATCAGAGACAAGGAGCTGCCACAGTACCTGGCCTTGACCCCAAGGAAGAAGAGACCTTATGACAACTGGCTGGAGGTTGTACCACGCTTTCTGGCTGGATTGGTTTTCCAGCCTCGAGCCCAGTGCCTGGGCGCTCTGGTGGAGCCTGCAGTGACGGAAAGGAAACGGAAGGTTCTTACCAGGTACCTGAAGCGCCTACAGCTGGGGACTCTGCGGGCCGGCCGACTGCTGGAGCTGCTACATTGTGCCCACGAGACACAGGAACCTGGGATTTGGGAGCATGTAACACAGCAGCTCCCTGGGCATCTCTCCTTCCTGGGCACCCGGCTCACACCCCCAGATGTGCACATACTGGGCAGGGCCCTAGAGACGGCCAGCCAGGACTTCTCCCTGGACCTTCGTCAGACTGGCATTGAGCCCTCTAGACTGGGGGACCTCGTGGGACTCAGCTGTGTCACCAGTTTCAGGTGTGGGCAGGACGCAGGGCAGACGTGGACTGTAGCTCTGGGGACCCCTATCCTATGAGCATGGCGTCAGATGGGCAGGACAGTCCCCTCCAATTTTAAGATGATAATGCTGGGGGTCAGAGAAAGGTAATTAGCCACACAGCCCGTGGGGGGAGAGTGTCGTTGCTCTAACAAATATTTGAATGCCTGCCACGCGCCAGGCACTGAAACACATCTACAGTCTCAGCCTAGCCCACGTCCAGATTGTCCCCATCCTTCGGTTGCCACCACGCGCCACCATTTTCTCATGCTCAAAGACATGGCCCCTGCGCGTCTCTGCCTCAGTCTTCTCTTTCTCTCTGCTCTTTGTATTCAGGCCAGAGCAGCCTTCCCAGAATGAGAATGAGAATGAGGCCGGGTTCCAGGGGTGCTCGCAGCCCTGCAAGGATACCCTGCACCTCAGAATGGGCTCTGAATTCTTTCATTTGACTCATTGAAGTCCATTTTGCAGTTTACTTGAGCACTTCAGGGTATCTCCAGAAAAACTTCCTCCCCTGTTCCCGATAAACAGATTTTACTCAAGTTATGAGGTCTGCCACAGGTGTGCCCGGAATTTAGCGCTGAGCTTCCTGGCAGTCAGAGAAAAAGTGGGCCTTTTCAAGAAAGGTAAAGCAATCAGGGCCCGTGAGGTCAGGGGAGGTGGAGATCGAGCTAAGGAAGGAAAAAGATGTGAGGAGATAGGTGGTCCCCTCATGGAGCCACTGTCTCTAGGTCTGAGGCCCTCCCTCCACAGGGCCTCCTTGAGCGACACAATGGTGCTATGGGAGTCCCTACGGCAGCAGGGAGAGTCCCAGCTACTCCAGGCAGCAGAGGAGAAATTCACCATCGAGCCATTCAAGGCCAAGTCTCCCAAGGATGTGGAAGACCTGGACAGCTTGGTGCAGACCCAGAGGTGAGAAGGCAAGGGCTAGGAGGTGGCTCCAGGCTATGTGGGTGGGCTGCGTGTCACATGCATGTCCTGTCCACAGAGCTGCCGAGTGCCCTGACTCTTGGTATGGCCACCCAGGCCCTCTGCTGCAGTCCACCCAGACAGGGACCCCAATTTTGCCCTTTGCCCCATTCTAAGCCAGGCCCTTGGCTAAAGCCAAGGAGACATCACCTGCTGGGGATTAACAAGGATCCCATCGGCATCTGCTAACTGAAGGGACCCTCGCAGCCTCTCACGCAACCTGGTCCGATTTCAGCCATAATAGAGCCAAGGGACGGAGGACAAGAAGAGGGGATACAGCATCGCCTACCTAGGTGCTGCTGAGTGCCTGTCTTTCTCTCTCTGGACCTCACACATGCTATGAGCTTATCTCCACTTTTAGTTTTTATTTAGAGGCAGGGTGTTACTAAGTTGTTCGGTCAGGCTGGCTGGGATTGGATATGGAGTTGAAGCTGGCCTCCACATGATCCTTCTCTCATCCTCTGAAATGACTGGTGATAAATAGGCTCATGTCACTCAGCCTGGCCCTAAGGCTCTTCTTTCCAAAGTGTTTTATATTTAATGATGTGTATACATGTGTGTCTGAGTGCCTATGAGGCCAGAAGAGGGCATCAACATCCCTTAGAACTGGAGTCCAGGCAGTTATGAGCCAAACTCCGCTTTTCTGCAAGACCAGTACAAACTCAACCACCAGCCCCCTAAAGTCATTCTTTTCAGTGGAGGATCAACAACAGCTCCCAAGAAAGACAGTCTTGGAGGTACACCCGTGGGGATACCCCTACTTACTGAAGCCTTTTCTCTCTAGGCTGAGAAACCCCTCGGAAGATGCAGCTCCAGATCTTCCTGCCATCCGGGACCTTAAGAAGCTAGAGTTTGCGTAAGTGAAGGGTGGACAATTGCCTTGGTAACCCAAGGTTGTTTCTGCCATCTTAGCTGATCTGGGGCCAGAGGCATGGTGAGTGGGTGGGCAGAGCCAGGATGATTCCCGCCCTCTCAGTTACCACTGGGAAAGCAGCATCCATTGCTGGGTGTGACCTGTCTGGGTGAGTGCAGGAGATGTTCAGAACAGCAGAGAACAGGCCCATTTGCAGGACAACACACATGTCCACCCCACCCAATATATAATGCACACACTTACATGTTCACACACTCACATGCACACGTATAACACACTCACACACTTGTGCACACATGCCTTGCACACACTCATGCACTCACAACTCACAAACATATAACACACTCACACACAGATGCCTTACACACATACTCACATACATACATATAACACACACATACACACACTGACAAGCACACATAGAACACACTCACACATTTGTACACACACATGCCTCACACATACTCATATTCACATACACACGTATACACACACGTGTACACTCAGACACACATGCATGCGAACATACACACACACACACACACACACGTGCATGCATACCCAGGAGCTCATGTTTATTCACTCATAAAAGCTCTTTGAGGAGCAGAGGCTGCTGTCCATGAAGAACATGTGCCAGCAAGTTCCCTTGCAGGGTGGGCTGGGGACTTCCTGGAGGAGGTCGCATCATCACAGAAGCTTGAGAAATTGAGAATGAACTCACAGGGGCTGGAGAGGAAGTCTTGAAGGAATGCCAGTATGCCCAGACCACAACCTCACACAGAGGGTGTCCCCAGGACCTCAGTTTTGGTCTTTTCCCTGCTGAACTAGAAATTGCATCCTCTTCCTGTGCCTGGGCTGGTCGCTCCCCTGGCCACATGTACTCCCCGAGGGGAATGCAGAGCCTGGCCACTGCCCTTTGAATTCAGGTGTCCTCACGATCTGCAGAGACTGGACCCAGCCTGGGTGCTGAGTAGACTTACTAGGGTTCCCAGTCATGCGCATGCTCAGACCCCACCCTGCTTCATACTTGCTTCTCTGGGTGTTCCCTCAGTTAGAAGGATCCTTCCTGAGAAATTCGGCTGTGTAACTCCAGTGAGCTAGGGTCCATCTTACCTAGGTTTGGTCTAATTGGGCACTGAGAGTCTCAGCAAACTGGGATAGTTGGTCCCCCAGCCTACGCAGCCAGGCCTGGCAGCCACCTCCCTGAGCAGTACCACCAGGGCAGAAGAAACAGATGATGGAGCGCAATAGGTTCTAGGGAATCTAGGGTGGCTGAAGGTTATGACAGGGCCAGGACATGGGCCCTGAAGAGCCCCAGGAGTTATATTTAGTCTGATTGCCTAAACAGCTCGTCCCTGCAATGCTGGGGATTGAGCCCAGGGCCTTGTACTTACTAGGCGAGCATTCTACCACTGAGCTATATCCCCAACCCATTTATTTGCTTGTTTGTTTATTTTTTTTTTAGAGTTTCATATATTCCAGGCTGACATCAAACTTGCTATATAGCGAGGTCAAGCTGTATAACCTTTAACTTCTAACCCCCCTTGCCTCTCCCTCCAAAATGTTGGGGTTATAGGCACACTCCACCACACAAGCTTATGCAGAACAAGGAATAGAACCCAGGCTTTGTGCGTGCTAAGCAAGCACTCCGCCAGTTCAGCTACATTCCCAACTCATGTGTTTCTTATTTTGAAAAGAGGTTTTAATATTTGCTTCCCCTTGCCTCAGCCCTGCCAAGTGCCCAGCATTGAAAGCACGCTCCACCACCGCTGTTACACAGCTTCTCAACTGTCAAGCATTTCCACCTCGTTATCCGAGACAGCTGGAGGAGGGCACTGCTGTCCTCTCTCATTTACAAATGGGCATAATGAGACCTGAGAGATGGCACAGTTTGTTCAAAGTTATAAGCACCAGGTTAGCTTATCTACTCGACTAACAAGCTCTGTCGGTGTTTGGTCCTCTTAGAGAGGAGATCGGGCCGGCCAGATGTGGCGGCACACACCTGTAACACCAGCACTTGGAGACCTAAGGTAGGAAGACAACAAACAAGTCTAAGGCCACTCAGGACTCCACAGAGAGCCCTTGTCACAAAACAAAGATCCTAGGAGCCTTTTACAGAAAGTCTCCTTCGTGGGAAGAGCTGCCCAGGAAGATAGTCAGTGGGCAGATTTGGAAACTGAGGCTAGGCGATGTTAGTGATGTGCCTGCAGTCCCAGCTGGTCACCTACTTGCTGCCAGCTCCTCTGCACCCCTGCAGATAATCAAGCCCCTCTTGTTTTCAACAGAACATAAAACGCCAAATTTGTAAAGAGGTAAAAATATTGCTGAAAAGAGGAAATGTCTGAAGACAGCCACAGGGTGCTTTCTGGCTTTGAATTATTTTCAGCTTAAAAAGTCCCTCCCTGGAGGTCGGAACTGCGCTCTGGGTACCGGAGGTTACAGAGTGGAACAGGCTAGAGCCAGACCAACAGCCACCTACAGGTTGGAAGCCCCGAGACGGTTCTGAGGAAGAAAGGAAGGAAACAAAAGACTATTTTGGGTGTCACCCACCCTGCCAGCCTCTTCGGCTGTCTGATCAGTCCACTTGAAAACCCCACATGTACGTAGGGTGCAGGTGGACACATGCCACTTCCTAGTGTACATAAAGCGCTGGTTCAGTCCCCAGCACAACCTACCTGGTGGCACACAGCTGCTGTCCCGGCACCTGAAGTTAGAGGCAGGAGAACCAAGTTGGAGTCTTAACCTAGAGAGCTCGTCAGGCTCAGAGCCTCGGCCCTCCTCTCCCCTCTCCCCGCCATAATCTTCCTGAGTCCCAGCCTACCCTATGCTCCTCCTTCTGGCCTTCAGTTTCCTGAAATGAGATTCAGCCCTAGGCTTTTGCCACGGCAGCACCTCTGCCCTGACTACTTTTCCTTACACAGCAGATCTACCCAGGCCCTTGCTGCCCCCTGTTCATCTTTTTTTTTTTTTTAAGTGACATTGTGTGCTTGCTTATTTGTTTAGATGTATGTATGTGCATGCATGCCTTGGTGTGCCTGTGGAGGTCAGAGGACACTTTGCAGCAGTTGGTTCTCTCTGTCATGCTGGTCTCAGGCCCCAGTGCAGACCCCTGTGTATCTCAGGGTTCTGAGGCCCTTTCTGAATCCTGCACCATGAGTTTGTAGCATTTCTTATCTCCCAGACTGGAGCCTGACCAACCCTGTGATTATCTCTCCCCCCAGTGGCAGCTCCACGCAGGTGGGAACTTCTGTTTGCTCAGGGCTTTCATGCCTTAGTCTGGTACCTGGCAGACAAGCAGTGAGATTGGGTGATGGCCTTTCTGTTCCTGACAGCC